ATATATATATATATATATATGTATATACCCCAGCTTGATGACACAGTGGGGTCCTGACCCCAAACTTTAGGAACCAGTGAGGTATTTTAATTGTTAAGTAAAAATTTTAGAATAAAATACAAACAAGAAAGTGATTTTTTTAAATAGTCTCTTTTTTTGTTTGTCTTTCTACCTTTAAAACAACATGAATTTTCAAAAGTCACCTCAAAATAGATCTTGTTCTATAATTTATTTATTTTTTAAGTTTGAAAAATGTGTTTAAAAAGTACATACATTAATTAATAAATCAACGAATATATAAATAAATAAATGGCAATTATTGTATTTTTTCATCTTTTTTACGTCAATTCGTTTAGTTGTAAAAGTCTCCAATCCAGACACATCGAGACGAGCTTTAAACGAACAGAGAATTCATTTGATTAAATCAAACCATGAATATTTTCTAATAAATAAGAAAAACTTGTCACCAAAACACAATTTATTTACGTTTGAAATTAAAACACCTTTTCATTCTTCTACACCGATGAAGATGATCCTAACAAAAATACCAAAATACTTTTTTTTCTTGATTTTATTCTATTTTTTATTATTATTATTTTATTTTTGGTCTCCAGCGCCACCTTCAAAATCTTTTCTTTTTTTTTTAAAGAAAATATTAAATAATAAAACCCTTGTGAGTTTGATCATTCGTTTGTGTCGTCCTGCAGAGTAAAGCCATGAGACACTTCGTGCAGGCGCGTGAGACCAGAGCTTTTGGGCCCTCGCTGCTTTGATGTGACGGAGGGAGGTGTGGTGGGATGGGATGGGGGGGATTAAAGATGAGCTCCATCATATTGTTTGACAGACACGCGCAGCTTGATGGAGTGGAGTTTTGGAGAGGAGCTGAAAATGGTGATTTCTAAAAATAAAGAGCGAATAGGAACCAAAACAGTGTCCAGATGGAAAAATCCATTTTAAGCGTCTTTGTTTCTCTTTCACTGTGTCACGTGACAGAGCTGTGCTGCGCACTTGGACATTTTTATTTCACTGCATTTTTTTTTTTTTTTATTAAAACTGCAGGTGAAGGTTTTGCTGCTGGAGTGAAATAATCGCACGGACAGTGGATTAATTTATTTTACAAACGCTCATAAACTGAAAATGTCTGAAAATCCCATCATCCAAACAGATGACAGATTATGGCATCCTATATATATATTTTATATATTTTTTAAAGCTTAAAATAAATAAACCTGTTCAAATATAATATTTCAAGTCTTTTTCAAGAGCAAAAGGAGCAGCCAATATTGATTAGACAATAAAAAAACTTCTACATTTATCAATCACTTGATTGGTTTCGCTTTAAAATAATAAATCATAACTTGTATTTAGAATAATAATTTGGAATTAACCCGTTTGTGCATTTTTCTCTTCCCTTGACCTGAAATGGCTCTGAAAATCCTGACCTTTGACCCCATGCAGCAACTTGAGACAGAAGGAGGGATTTTTATTTATTTTATTCTTTTTCATATCGTTATGCTGATCGTGTATTTGTTAAAGCAGCGACCCTGCTGGAGCTGTTTCCTCCCCATCAGAGCTGCTGCGCCTCTGCAGTCTGTCCCCCCCTAACGGCTCCATGCAGGATGGCTCACAAGCCGTGCGCGCGTGTGCCCAAAACGCACGTTTGATCAGCAAACTGCGGAGGTATGAAAGCGGATTTATGATGCTTCAAAAGATCACAGGAAGGACGCGTTTGAAAGCTGCTGCAGTCAGAACACATCAGCAGCAAAGACACGACGGATTGTGTTTTGGAGTGGATGGAGGATGCATGCACCTGTCTGCTGTCAAACACAGGGAGAGACCCGGGGGGGGGGGGGGGGGGGGAAAAAGAAAAAGGGGAAAAGATCACATAAAAGTTCTCATATTCTCATAAGTTTTTTAATGGTTGCACAAAAACATTTCTGTTGTGCAAATCATAGTGACGCTGCTAAATGCTGGGAGGAAAAAAAATCATTAATGTAACAAAAGTAAACAAACAAAAATTAAATGAATGCACGTTTTGATTTAGACCTAATTCCTTAAACACACTTGACTTGGCGTAGATGAGCAAGACTCCGGACCTCCTGGTCTCACATGGTCACGCATGCACACTGACAGATGCGGACCGGAAGTTTCTCTCCTCTGACCCAAACCCGCACTGACAAAGATGGCCTCTGGAATGTGCAAGTATTGTTTATTTATTTATTTATTTAATTTTCTCACGTTCCATCTTCCTCATCGCTCCGTCACTGAGGTGTCAGAGCTGCAAGCTGCATATATATATA